TTAGTGTCGTGTAGTGTCATATGAACCGTTTAGAGGGCCACACCGTTTTAAAAAATATAAGAAAATGATTAAAATTATAATTATTGTTATTTAATATAAAATGCAAAAATTAAAGTAAAATTTTTTTATTGAAAAAATAATTTTAAATAAAAAAAAAAAATAAAAAAAATAAAAATAAAAATATTTATTTAGGAAAATGTCTGAATATTAGAACATATAACTGATTAAGTGTGATATAATACCTTATATTTTTATTATAATTATCTTTTTTATTTTAAAATATTTATTATAAAATTATTATTTTTATAAATTAATTTATTTTAAAATAAAAAATATAATAATATTTTTTTTATTTTAATTTTATTATTTATAGAAGATTGGGATAAAAAAAAAAAAAAAATAAAAAAACTATTCATTTTATTTTTACATCCAATCAAGCATCTATTTATTAATTTATTTATTTATTAATTTATTTATTTATTTATATATTTGTTTCAAGTTGTTAATTTAAATAACTTTTTTCTAATAATAATATTACTTTCTTTTAATATAATTTTATTTTTATAATAAATATCAATTTTTTTTTTTTTTAATAATATATTTTAACAATTTTCATATATAATATATAACATTTCAAAATGAAAAGAGGTGTAGCATTTTTAGGTAAGTTGGGATAATTATTTTTTATTTATAATATTGTGTAACCTGATTATATGTGGAATTTCCAACAACAGTTTTAATAGATCATGACATTATTACACAAACAATATTTACATATCATTTACTAATCATCATTTTATTTTTAAAAATAGCATTATTTTTCTCCCTTATTGTACTTGGTTGTTGTGTAGTTAGTATTGCAATGCCTTGGTATCGTGTTAAAGAAACCAGTAAACTCGATTCAGATAAATATCAAACAACTTTATACTATTGGGACGAATTTAGAGTAACCGATGAAGAATTAAATAGTGTAAGCTTTATTATTTCTTCTTTTTTTTTTTAATTTAAATTTTATATTAATTTTTTATTTAAAATTTTAAATATAGACAAATATTATTTATAAAGATGGTGATAAATATGATGATAAAGGATTTGATACTGTTAAAAAGGTATTCATTGTTTCCCTTGCATTCACTTGTCTTGCTACTTTATTAACCGCCATTGCAATTATTTTGGTATTCATTGCATTCGTTTCAAAATCAAGAATCTTTGGTATTATTGCAGGTATTTTCATGTTCCTTACATTTGCTCTTTTATTAGTCTCATTCTTCCAATTTATGCGTATCAACGGTGCTTTAAATGACGATGACGACTTTTGTGGAACTAAAGGTAAAATAGAAGGTTACGATATTGACGAAACATACTGCCACAAATTCCTTTCTAGTGCTGAAGGTACCCTTACCAAACTTAACTATGGTCCAGTATGTATAAACACCTATTTAAACATAATATATAATGTTTTATGTTTTACTAATATTAAATTTCTTTTTTTTAATAGTATGTTGGTTGGTGGATTACTCTTGGTGGTATCTTCTTTTCAATGTAAATATACAAATTATTAATCTAACTACATTGTTTAATTTATAATTTACTAATATTTTATTTTATTTTATTAAAGGTTTGCATTTGGTCCATTATTCTCTGCCTCAAGAAAATAAAACTATAATAACCAATGTTTTTTATATAATAACAACTACTAAGCAAAGTAAAACAAAACAAAACTAAATTTATTTATTTCCTCCAAACAATTAAATAAAGTTTAAATCGATTCCACTTATTATTTATTTTAGTAATATTTTATATTTGTTTTATATATTATTATATTTATTATTTTATTTTTATTGTTTTATTAATTTTTTATTTAGTTATATTTTATAATTGTAATATATATATTATTTTACTTATTATTATTTTATATTTATTATTTTATTAATTTTTTAACCAAAGTGGTAAAACATTTTCTAAATAAACCATAAATTTCCATAAACCCACATTATATTCGTAGTTACCTTGACGATCAGGTTTAAATTGAGGGAAAGCAATACCAATACCGTAGAGACCTGGTGCAACAACACCATTTGATTCGTTATATTTCAATGGATGAGTATTTGAACTTTGATCATCACTATCGAGTTGAATATCAATGTTATTTCTTCTTTCGAAACCAATTGCATAAACAACTTTATTACATTGTGATAATTTTTCTTTATAGGATGGGTTGTTTACTTGAATTCTTTCTAAATTTTGAATTGGGTTATTTTCAATATTTTCTTTTGCCCATTTTGCAGAGTAACCTTTTAAACCTGTATTATCGTACAAGATCCAATCTTCGTAATAAACAGCATATTTAAGTGGTGATCTATAGAAATTAATCATTTTTGAGCCGCAATGATCTGTAATGTTATAAAGTGCAATGATTGCAGTATGTGAACTACCAAAAACAGCTACTGTATCATCTTTTGTGCAAACTTTTTTTAACTCTTCTGGATTGATAACTTGTTCTACTGTAATAAGCTCTGATGCATCTGGTACTGGTAAATATAATGGCTCTGCACCAACTGCTAAAACTACATTATCTGATACAAATGTAATAGTACTATTATTGTTATTTGCTTCGACTGTAACACACCACTTGTGATCACCACATTTTTTAACTTGTTTTACTAATCCTCTGATTATTGGTACTTTTTTTTCATTGATTAATCTATCAGAAACCCATTGTAAAGGATCTGCAATTTCGTTAAGCTGACATGTATCTTTTGGTACAAGGTGATTAAGCTTAAAGTCTATTGGGCAATCTTTATAGCCAAATGATTCGCACTTGTTAAGAAATCTTGTAAATAACTCTACAGTTGTATTGCTTGAGACTGTACGCCACTTCATACCAAGGTCACCTGCTTTAAAATCTGGATCTATCCAACATAAATCATTTAAATCCACACCATTATCTATTAATTTACCAACTACTGCCATACCTGCTGCACCTGCGCCCACAATAGTCCATTTTTTATTATTATTAACAGTATTATTATTTTCTACCATTATTTTATTTTATCTATTTAATTTAATTTAATTTAATATAATATAATAAATAAATATCAAATTTTTAATATTATTATTTTTATTATTTTTATATTATTTTTATATATTATTTTTATATATTATTTTTATATATTATTAATGATATTTTAATAATTTTTAAAAATTTTATTTTATTTTTACAAATAAATAAAAAAAAAAAATAAAAAATAAAAAAAAAAATTTTATTTAAAATCAAAAATAAACGAAAATCAAAATCAAATTAGCCACCAAATTTACAAATTTTTCTGCATATTCATTCTGACCAAATGATTTTTTTTTTATCGCCATAGTTGCACCATTTCCTTTTTACTGAATATATACATTTAAAATTTTTTTTTTGCCATTAATTAAAAAAAAATAATAAATAAAAATATTTTTATTATCAGAAAAAAAAAATAAAAAAATAAAATATTTATTTTTGGAATATATTAAAATATATAAATTTGATATTTTTTAATTTTAAAAAACTTAATATTTTTTTAAAAAACTTAATATTTTTTTAAAAAACTTAAAAAACTTAATAGTTTTTAATTTAAAACTTTTTTATTTAAATATTATTAAAATTTTTGAAATAATAAAGCTTAATATATTCAAGAATCAAATAAAAAATGGATGAAGATTACGAATACACATACGAATACACATACGATTACAAATATGAATATAAATACGAATATAAATACGAATACAAATACGAAAACCAATATAGTCACTGTGTGGGTTGTGATTTTTGCAATGTAGATGCAAATACTAATATAAATACAAATGTAGAAAAAACCAAAATAAGACATAAAAAATAAATTAAATAAAGTTTTCTTTTCTATTGGTATAATATAATGATTTTATTTTTTATTTTTATTTTTTTTGACTAAAGTAATATAGTTTCATTTGATTTAAATATTTTCTTTACAAATTTAATACGATCTTTTATAAGTTTATAGTTTGGTTCTGATTTTGAATTACTTGATAATAAACCATGAACAAAGAATATACTAATACCTTTAGTTAAGGAGAGTGCATTGGATTGGGATTCTTTAGTTGCAGAAATTCTAGATTGTGTTGAAGTTACTAAACGTTCAAAGATTGTGGATACTGATGATTCGTCGGGTAAAGTGAGTAAATAGGTAAAAAGTAATCTAAAGAAAACGATTTCTATTGGTTGTAATTGTTGATTTAATCTATAACTCTGAGGATTGTTAAAGAGAATACATGGTTTTCAATTAATCTACCTAAAAGAGCTGAAAGATTTGAAAGACGTACAATATCAGTTTCGCTTTCTAAATCTTTTAAGTGGTCCCAAATACAATATTGAAGTGTAAACTTGAAATTACTATCGTGAATACAAAGACGATGAACCAAATGGTAATAATATGGGTTGAACTTCTTTTCTTTTAAACAACAATGCATTAAAACATGAATTACTTCACGATCTTGTTTATCTTTTAATTTCAATTCCATAATTTTGTCGAATGCATCTGAGAAATCTTCACTGGTCATTAAAATACAAAATATTGTTTTTCTTAAATCGGTGTTCATTTTATTTGCAATTGCTAACTTGAGTAATTTTGAATTGTTTTCGAATGTTTTTAATTTGATACCGGAATCAGTTGGTTGGAGATGTGCTGCTTTTGAGGTGATGCCTAATAAAGGGTTAACATCGTTACCTGCCCATGATGAACCTACTAACCACCAACGACCCTTGGTTTCAATATTAGCTAAATCATCCCAACTAATTTTCATTTGATTGCTGTTCATCGATAAATCTCTGGCCCTCAATACACTTTTAATGGCTTTCTTTAATGAGGTGAGGGTATCAATGAGTTTGGTATTTTTGATTTTATTATTCTTTAAATTGCTAATAGTATCCATCATGAATGTAAGCTTTGCTGATTTTTCGAGCTCTTCTGGGGTGAGTTTTGATTCGGCATTTGGGTCTTTTAAAATTTCTTCTTGTCTTTTTTGTTTATATTCTTGTTGTTTTTTTTGTACAATTAAAATGATATCCTTAAGAGTAACTGGATCTTCACCACGGAGTTGATAGCCTGCATTTTGAAGTAACAATAGAATTAATTGAACATCGATATCTTTAAATGAATCTATAAAGTTCTTGGCCATATCAAAAATAATTTTGCTACCTAAGACTTGGAAATTGTATAGATGAATAAATAATAAAACATAATTTGAAATTAAGCTTGTGCTACTGTTACAGTCGCTGTAAATTCTGTTATATTCACTAAAAATAGCTTCGATGATGTGACCTCCAATATCTGTACCGATTGATGAATGTAAACCACTAATTAATGCTGTATAAATATGAATAATACTGTGAACTACTTGAGTGCTTTCTGAACAATTGGTAAGAATTAGTTGAGTTAAAATCTGTTTCATTGAATTTCTTGGGTTGTTATCAAACAATTCTGATATTTCATTAAAAATTGTATAAAAATTATTAATTGCTAATTTATTCATTAAACCATTGATTTTCTTTTTTAAAATTGGGTCAACTTCTATATTTAAATAGTTTGGTTTTGATGTTGCATTTTGATCTTGTTTTTGTTGCTGTTGTTGTGGTTGATTACGTAAGTGTGGTGGAACATATTTATTTGAGGGTGCACTTCCTTCGCTTACACCTTTATTATCTTTAATAATTTCACCGGTTTTGGTATTTACAATTCTACCATAAATATCTTCTTTTATATATTTTTTATTTTCTTCTTCATCCATCTCTTCATCTTCTTCATCTTCTTCATCTTCATCTTGATCAACATCTTCTTCATCTTGATCTTCATACTCAGCTTCATCATCTTGTATTTCCTCATCATCTTGATCTTCTTCAAGCTCTTCTTCTTCATCATCTTCATTATTGCCTTCTTCACTATCATTTTGTTCAGCCTCTAAATCATCGTCATAATTATATGCATCGTCTTCATTTTCCTCTTCATCTTCATCTGAATAACCACCAGCCAATGCTTTTTCTAAATCATCAAAAATATCGCTAATATATGATGGATCATCATTTTCCTCATCTGGGATTTCATCAGTAACGGATTTTTGTGATTTGGTTTGTTTTGATTTTTTATTTGGTTCGTTCATAAATTCTAATAAAAAGTAAAATAATAAATTAGTATTTTACTATGTAATTAAATTATTTTAATATAAAACATACCACCTAAACCATCTTCATCCTCTTCGGATTTCTTTCCTTTCTTTTTATTTAAACCTAATTTCTTTTCTAAATATGCAATCTCTCTATCATCGGATGACATCAAATCAGCCTTAGTTCTACCAATTGATTTTAAAAATGCTAATTTCTTTTGTTCATTTAATGCATCTTGTTTCATTTTGTTTTGAACTTTCTCGACTTTTGAAATTGATTTTTTTGGTTGTTTTGGTTGTTGTTGTTGTTGTTTTGGTTGTTGTTTTGGTTGTTGTTTTGTTTGTTGTTGGTTATGATTTCCATCTTCGTCTAATCTTTGCTTTTTATTTGTTTTAGATCTATAAAAATCATCTTTTCTTTTTTTTTTATCTTCTCTTTCTTGTTTTCTTTGTTCTTTTCTTGTTAATGTTTTTCTAGATTTATCTCTGTAACCCGGTAAATTTTGAAAACGACTGTTATCGGTTTCATCATCACTTCCATCTTCATTTTTACTGAATTGTTTTGAAAGTTTACTTGGTAATTGGAGTGGTTTAAATGATTCTATATGTCTTGTCATTTTTTTTTTAAACAATTAAATTAAAATAAAAAGAAAAAAAAAAAATTTTAATTTTATAATTTAAATTTAAAAAACGAAAAAAAAAAAAAAATTAAAAAAAAAAAAAAAAAAATTAAAAAAAATAAATAATTATTTATGAAACCGAATAAAAACATCGATCAATATTTATTGATTAAATAAAGATAATTGAATCTCTTCTAGTTCTCTTCTTTTTATTTCTTTCCAGTTTTCTTTACTTTGATTGGTTTGTGGTTGTGCTGGCTGTACTGGTTGTTGTTGCTGCTTTTGTTTTTGTAATATTAAGTTTGAATTTGAGAATTTTGTAAAATTAACATTTGCCACACAACTATTTGCATAATCTAAAGAATCGGTATCGTTGTTTCTGACTTCTTTTTCACATTTAATGATTAGTGGAGATATTTTAGTTTTGGTACCAAGTGACATTAATAAATTCTTCCAAACTAAAACCATAATTTTTCTTGAGTTAATTTCATTAACGCCCCATTCAACTAATTTTCTTTCTAATATGACTGGATACGGAATATTGCTGTTATTTTCTTTGCTAGGGTTATTAAAGATTCTTTTATTTTTATTTATTATCGGCTGTTCTTTAATTAAACTTATTAAACTATTTCCAACTGTAATTAACCATTTGTTTTGAAAATCTAATTTTAAAACTGATTTTAAAAGTAGGAATAAAAATGGTCTAAATCTCGAGAAATTGATACTATTTAGTTGTTGCTTTGTTTTTATTTGTTTTTGGTATATAAATGGAAACTTTGATAAATTATCTTTAATAACTTTATATAAATTGAAATGATTTTTTTTAATTCTTTTAATTTCGATTTTATCTATCGGTTTATTGTTTTGATTATTATTACTATTATGACTGTTGTTATTGTTTGATGGTGGAGGTGGAAATATTAATTTCTTGTTTTTATTATTTATTTTCATTCCATTTAATATCATTACTCTTTCTAGTGGGATTATGGTCTTTTTGCATTCTTCTTCGCAAGAGTTGAAAATTTCTTTAATTTTATAACATGTGTTATTCTTGTTTATTTCCTTTTGTACCTGCTGTTGATTGTTGCTATTATGTTCACCAACTGGACCATTTAGGTTATGTGATTTTTTACATTTTGAACCGAATCTACATTTACCAAATTTCCTAAATAAAAAGCAAATTTCATTCCCATTGACATCGTATTCTATAACCTTTTCTTTTGGATCTGTTTTCTTATTTATATTGGTATTGGTATCGGTATTGTTTTTATTTATATTACTATTTGTTATATTATTATTTATATTATTACTATTGTTATTACTGTTATTATTATAATTATTATTGTTATTATTATTATTATAATTATTATTGTTATTAATATATAAATTTTTCATATTATTTTTTAAAATAAATATGATTGGGTATTAAAGAAGAGAGTCATTTAAAACAAAGAAATAATAAAACCACTTTATTAAAAAATATATTTAAAAAAAAAATAATAAAAAAATTTAAAAAAAAAATTTAAAATAAAAAAAAAAATTTATAAAAAATGGGATAGTTTTTAAAAACAAAACATTTTTGTTGTAATTTTAATTCGTTCATTGTTTAAATTTTATTAATAAAAGGAAATGGGGTTTAAATTAAAAGAAAAAGAAAAAAATAAAAAAACAATGTTATAAAAAAATAAAAATAGTTATTATAATAAAACCATAAATAATATTATATCATCATTATACACTACATACCATTTTAAATTTATATTTGTACAGTTATTTTAATCTTTATCTAAGTTTTTTTATATATTTATTTAGTAGTTGTGAAGTTATTTCATATTTTTTTTTATTTATAAAATCAAATTACAATAAATATAATGTGTTGTGTTGTGTTACTTTAAATTTTTTATTTACATAAATTAATAATTTCTATATAATAAAGAAATCCA